GGTCGGGCTGGTAGCAGGATGACAAGCCCAGGGCCTTTGTGTAGTGGGGAATCAGCAATCTAGAAAATGAGATTAATAATAGCAGTTGAGAAGCAAGAAAGTACAAAGGTTACTACATGTTTCAGCTACTCAGAGCCACCGTATGGTGACTGCGAAGAAATAAAAGTCCTGCGTACAGGCAGGAGCCAAAATCTAGCAGTCTTCACTCCAATACCTTCTCCTGCTAAGGACGAGGGAAAATGGCTTTTGTACTTTCCACCTTCTTCCTTCCTTGCAGGAAACCTGGCATTTGGGGAAGAAAAGCATTAGCTGTTTTTATTCCACGAATAGAGACCCCTCACCAATTTCAAGGAGGTACAGGAAGGCATAGACGTGAGGAAAGATGCACCCTATCATGTCTGGGAGAGGGACTGCTTTAATGAACCCAATGGGCGCTCCAGGCCTGTCTACACTGGGTGGGCCTGTCATCACACAATTCTAGAGCATTCTGCTCCAACCCCTTTATTTTCCTCAAAGAGCAAACCTTGCCTTTCATGCTTTTTCTTTTGCCATCAGCAAAGTCAAGTCCTCAACAGAAGGAAAGGGCTGGGATTATATTTAAATATCTGCTCAGGGTACTTTTCTGTTTCTCACTGATTACAAAGAGCCAATTTCAGGTGATCTGATCCTTTAAGTAAAGTTACTAGAGAAGTCCAGCCCACACCATTTTCTTTCTGTTGTTTGGGCTAGGCCCAAATGCTTCCATCCGGAGGCTGGAAAACTAAGGGGAATCGATTGCTTTCTTTTACATCTCTCTTGCAAAGTCTGCGACCTGCAATGGTAAGGTTCTTCCCCAGCACATGGTTCTGGGGATGGGTTTTAATGACTCTCCAGTGCTTTAATCCTGCATGAAGTGGAACCTGGCTTCTCTGGAGCTGCCTTGGGTAGCAGAGTTCAGAGGAGCTGTTCTAAGCCCTTAGTCCCTCAGGGCAGGTGTGCGCCTGCATTTCTCCAGCACCTGACCCAGATAACCCAATTAATTAAGAAGAGCTTGTTTAAAGTGCCTCCTTCCCTTTCCTGACTGACTGTACAAATCCACAGCCAAGTCCTAGTGATTCTCATCTCTAAACACCTGGCTACCAGGTTCCTGGTTTTCCCCTGGTGCCATTATCTCGAACCTGCAATCATCCTAACTTCTTCCTCCTTGACCTCTTAACGTGCCTGCCTCCAATCTCCACTCCACATTGTTGCTAAAGGCTGCTGACTGGACAAGCTCTGATTTAAAACACATCCCACGTCTTCATTTTGTCAGCAGCATAAAACTGAAGTCTTTAGCTGGAAATGCGCGATCCTTCACGGACTGACTCCCACTCACCCCCTCTAATGCTATCTCTGCAGCTTTGCCCCACTGTGGCGGGCCCCTGCTGGCTCCTACTGGTTCCCACAGCCCCTCGGCGGCTCCCCAAGCTGCCAACCTCACCTGCGCATCTGGCAAAGAAGCTGCTTTGAAGCTTTGACTAGAAGCCTCCAGGATACCCTTGCAGCCCCAGGCACTCCTTTCTCACCGATTTTATCCCTCACTTCCTAGCTTTGCAGTAATTGTCCCTCTTGATTGTCTACCCCTCCATTAGACTATAAAATCTCAAGGTGTCAACATGTGTTGAATGAATCAATGAATGAATGAACAGACAGAACACAAACTTGAGAGAAGTTAGTTTGAGACTTGGAGACACTAGCGTATAGGTAGGTGGCTGTTGCAGTCACGGGAAAACAAATCACCCAAAAGGAACATTGAGCTCAAGGTAAGACCCACATTAGAACACTGGGGAAACAGAGGACAACCCCTCAGAGAAAGAAAAAAACTAAAAGATACCTTAGGGCATAGCACTCAAAGACCAAGGAGGAGAAGATTTAAAAACAAGGTATGGCTTGAAGAAATATAAACACTGTCAGGATGAATGTAGTAACTTTTGTCGCTCTGAACAAAAAACAAATAAAGCCAGAAAGTTATGAGGAAAGAGTTCTTATGCATGATTGCCTGATAGGAACTGTCACAAAAGACTGCCAGGATCTCAAATGCACACAAAGGCCACCACAGTTTTATTATACAACGTACTTCTACGACTACCAGAACATCTGCCCACCAACTCTGTTCAATTTCAGACCAGAACCACTCTTGTTAGTAATTACTGTGGCCAAGGATTATTTTTTCAAAATATCTGACAGAATCCTCATTTGTTTTTAAAAATGTCTCCTCGTCCCAAGCTCTCTAAATATGCCCACAGTTCACTACGATGTGTATTTCTATAGCTGTCCCCTGCTGTTCCTAAATGTCATTATCCTTTGTAGAATCTCTCTCTGTTTTAGACTGACAGGTTTATACTAAGACTGTACCACAATGGAGAACAAGAATTACTACATCATCCTACAAGGATATTTGGGTGAAAAAATCTTAGTCTTATGTGAATGGAACTACACAGTCAGGATAATTACCTTCTTATTTTCATTAAGGTAAATTTTAGTCAATTCTTACTGTTATTTCCAGTACTAGGTATTGCTAGCCTAGGACTTCCTTTAGCATGCTGTCTGAAAAATTTGTTTTTCTTTTCCTAACTTTTTCACGTGTAGTTTTTTCTGTGTCAGTCTTGGAACACAAAAGTAGATTTATTCAGTTTAGATTTTCCAGACATATGCAGTTGTCATCTCAGCCAAACTGTTATGGTTTTACGGGCTGATATTGAGGCTTTGTCTACAGCAGAGACAGAATACACGTGGAAAGCATGACTGGTTTTCTTATACTGTAGATATACCTAGAAGTTAGGTGATCCTGTATTTAGAGCTGTCATCCATCTCCTACCAAACATAGAGTCAGCCCATGGCCAACACTGCTGATTGTGGCAGTTCCCCAGCTGAGCCACTGCATGCTCATGACATTGGAAGCAGCCATTACCCACTAGATAGAGTTAGCCCATCTGAAATCTCCTCATTCTTAAGTCAATTATATTAAATTTGAGCACTCACAGCACTGGGAAGAACAAAAGACTACTGCTAAGAGGACAATGAGTGGAAACGAAGTACAGATGATCCTTGATTTACCACGGGGTTAAGTCCTGACCACCATCCTAAAATCAACAGAACCTACAGTGAACCATCTTAAGTGGGAGACATTTGTTGTTGAAATGTGACTCAGTCCTTCTGCTTTAATTTCTATGTCCCCCATCAAGAATGGTGGATTTTTAAGACTTTTTAGTCTTCTTTAGCTACTGATTTCACAGACACATACATATGCCATTTCAAATCAGTTCAGAGACCTGAACTAAAGCATGTTGGTTTCAGAGCCCTATTGGCTACTGACTCCCTCTGGTCAAACTACCCTATGAAACTAAGGGTTTCACTATACATTGTGTATTTTAAGGAAAATAAGCCTGGTAGCAGTCTGTCCACTTCACGTGCTATCAAAACCCCTTACCTGGTTACCTACCGTTTATCTCTAATATAATAAAAGCCAAACTGCTTCGCACAACATGGAGTTCATCACAATAAAAGCACCACTTTGCTCCCCTCATCCTGCCCTTGTCCGTTATTCCATCCTACCACATCTGTCTTTGTATACCATGTATTCAATTTCTTTGGTTCCTGTAACAGACTGCTACAGACTTAGTGACTAAAAGCCACATGAATTTATTACCTTGTAGTTCTGTAACTTAGAAGTTCAACATGGGTCTTACAAATCCAGGAATTAATAAGACTGTGTTTCCTTGCCTTTATCAGTTTCTGGAGGCTGCCCATGTGGTTTTATGGCCCCTTTTCATCATCAAAGCCAGCAATAGCCAGTCAAGTCTTTCCCAAAAGCATCAGCCTGACACTAAATTTGCTTTCCTTACTTTTTTTTTTTTTAAATTTGGTACTGGGGATCGAACTCACGATTGTGTGCTTGCAAGGCAGGCACTTATGCCACTGAGCTAAATCCCCCCCAACACACACACTTTTTTTTCCTTCTTTACCTATGAGGACCACTGTGAGTTCACCGAGTCTTCCTAGGTGGCCCAGAATAATCTCCCCAGTGTCATATCTGCAAGGTCTCAAAGTACATTGGCGGGGCATTTTCTTGTCTGTCATAATGGTGCTTCTCCTGCCTAGAGGTCCGCTGATCTCTGTAGAAGACTGCTACCCATTCCCCAGGCCATCCTTACCAGCTCATGGAAAGATCACCCCAACCCAGGAGGTTCTCTCCTCTCCCAACCCAGCCTCATTCGTCTGCCTCTTCAGGCCCATGTGAACACACGAATTGCACTGCAGCACTTATTTTGTCCTGTAACTTACTTGTCCTCAAGCATGTATCACTTCAACTAGATAGTGAGTCATGATGTCTTACTCATTTTTGCAGGCAAAGACCTAACTAGAAACTTTTGTAGGAAAAAATTAATGTGATCTTTTAATGCATAAAGACCTCAGGAAGAGGCAAACAAGAACAATACCTTCATAGGACTTCTGTTTGGAGTACAATTTAGAAGTTACTTCCGACAGCTCTCAGCTTATTTACCACAATTGATCAAACCTCTTAATCTTTTAACTATTGCAGGGAGGTACTACTTGGATTATCAAACATTGCCAAAGCTTTAAGTGTTCTCCTGGGTTCAGACAGACAACGTACACCCCAAGGGCTGGGTTAGATGCCAAGTTAGGTATCGTATTATCTGCATGAATTTAAAAACAAAACAAAACACTTGTCTAACAAATCCAACTGGCTGGTTGAGTATTAAAGGCAACTTGACTGCAGTGTTTACTTGGTGCTTCAATATCTGCAAGTTCTTGAATAAAAATTATTGAAATTCCAAGTGAAATGAAATTTAGGTAAACTCAAGTATTTAGATATGCTCCAGTTCAAAGCTGTTAAATAAAATAAGGCCCCATAAATGGAGAGAGATTTATTTTTAAAGTCAGTGATTTGCTATGAATGCATAATGTCACTAACACCACACAGCATAGAAATCCAAACACAGAGTAAAACTAAAAATCACCTGTCTAGCCATTGAGCTGAAGAAATCCAGTTGTGTATAAAAAAAAGAGATTATTAGTGAGGCATGGTGGTACATGCGTGTAATCCCAGCACTTGGGAGACTGAGGCAGGAGGACTGCTGAGTTCAAAGCCAGGCTGGGCTACATGGTGAAATCAAAGCTAGCCTGACCTACATAGCGAAACTCTAAAACAAAAATAAAAACGAGAAAGAGGGGGGGGGAGAGAGAGAGAGAGAGATTATTACCTGTGTTGTAACTTGAACATAAATCTTTTTTTTAAAATTACCAATAATAAAACTCCTTCAATTAACTCATGTTGGTTTTTTAGATTTAGGTAAAGGAACTGTGGAGTTTTTAAAGCAAAGGACAGTATATGAATAAGCCTTTGGCTGCATTTCAATTGCTTTTCCTAGTACTGAGAAAATAGGAATCTGATATCCAGGAGTGGTACAGATCTGTATCAAATGTAACATGCATAAAAGGTAAACTGAGGCTCAGCTGCTTCCTATAGATCAGAAAGACCCAAGGCTAAGGGAGACTCCAGCGCCTAAGAACATGAGACTTGCTGTACACAGTGAGTCATGCCTAAATGCTGTTTTGCACTGCAGATTTTAAACTTGATGCAGTTTTACACAAAGGAAAGAACCATCATCCAATGTGTGTTGGGTTTCTCAAGCTGCTAGATTCTTCTGTAAACTGGGTAAAATGGAGTCGTGAAGGTCTAATATGTACAGATGGTGATCATGTTGATACCATTATTTTACATGGCTATTCCAAGCTTTTTCTGCTATTAAATCGAGATTATGTATAAACACAGCACAGAGCCAACCTGGAGAAATCACTGAGGATCTGGAATCATCTCAAGATCTAGAGCTATCTCAAACTTATAAGCAAGCACCCACCATACAGGCTATGCTCACCCAGGGGCACATCAGTGGATTTCTAAAGTCTATTAAGGTTAATTCAAAATGTGAACAAAGCACACATCTGTAACCCTGGCATTCTGGGGGGCTGAGGCAGTAGGATTACATATTTGAGACTAGCCTGGACAACTTTCGAGACTCTCTGTCTCAAAATTTTAAAAAATGATGATAAGATGTAGCTCATCATGAAGGCCCAAGGTTCAATCCCCAGCACGCGTGTGTGCACCCACACAAAGTGAACAAGAAGTGTGTAATAAGCTTAATAAATAAAACAGTTGAACCCACTAGCAGTAAACTAGCTCTCACTAGAACAAGGATTGTACACTTTGCCCCTATGCAGACAATAATCCTAAGAGTAGTGGTTTTAGGAAAAAGAGTAGAAACATTAATGAGATACAAAATTACATTTTCAGTATTAGTCAAATGTCTGTAGAACTACATCTAACTTTCTCCTGAAGCCAAATCTTTTCCCACCCTGCATTTCGTCCTCAACATTTTACTATGCTCAGCATAGTAGCAACTGAAAAAAAATGTGTTTCATCTAGAAACAAAAGTGAGAAAACTTCAAAAAACACTGCGCTTCTGTACTGTTAGGTTTCCAAGTTTTTAATATAAAGCTAAAATAAGGCGATATAAAGACAGTTTTACAGTAACCAAACTTTTAACAAATGCCCTTTAAAAAACCACAATCAAACCATAACATTATTTTTTACAGCGTGAGCAATAGTTGACCAACAAATATTTTTTTTTTGCTAGTTCGCTTTATCAATCATGCAATTTGCAAGCTCACGATTTTCTAGAGGTAGGCAGGCTAATGCTCAATATTAAAATAAATCGATTCTGCAACGACTTTGTTATTGAAATCAATAAGGCATGTTTTCTCATCCCGGCCATGAAGTAATTCCATGTCAACTTGCTATGGTGTCAAATGCGACAAACTCTGAGAGCTCCAGTGGAGAGGCGGTGGCTCCTAGCACCAACTGCTTCCCACACTCCCGCAGCATCAGGACGCGGCGCCCGCTGGGTTCCCGAAGCACAACCCGCACTCACAGCCCCGGGAGCCTAAGTCTGAACATCGTCCCCCCAGCCCAGGGAAACTGAGGCACGATGACCCGAGCGATTCAGAGCCCAGCTAAGGCCCCGGGTCGGCGTCCTCTTTTCCGAGGCGAGTCCGGAGGCTGCGGGCAGTGTGTAGTGGACCTTGCACTCCCCGCCCTCGGAGGTCACCCGAGCCCCCAGCCCGCCCGGATCTGAGCATCCTGCGCCCCCGGAGCCTCCCTCCCAGCACCCCGCCTCTGCTGCGGGCTCTCCCCGCTCAAGCGCCCGAAAGTTCCGCAGCTCCGCTCGGCCTCCCACCCGCGCCCCGCCGCCCGGGCGCCCTGGCTACCTGACAGCGCTGCGCCACAGTGGTGGTCGCCGTGGCCCCCTCGCCATGGCCAGCCGGACAGCGGCCGCCGCGCCGCGCTCTGCGCCCGACGCCCGGCAGCGCGGCTGCGGAACCGCCGCCTCCTCCTTCGCCTCCTCCTCCTCCGGCGCCTCGCCTTGATGCGGGCTGCGCCGCGGGCGGCCCGAGTGCGGCGCTTCCCACCTCCAGCCGCGGAGCCGGCCGGCGCCGAGCATGCCCAGTGCGGCTCTCCGGGCGTGCGCCGTGGCCTCCGGGTTTTCGCTGCAGCCGCGGGCGGAGGCGGGGCGCGCGAGCCGGTGGGGTGGGCGGGCGGCGCTGCCGCGGACGGGCGAGGCCGGCTGCGCTAAGCCGCGGTCCGCGAGCGCAGCCTCTTTCCAGGCGTGACGCCGGCGCTGGGCTCGTGCTGCACGCCAGGTGGTTTCCCAGCCGACGGCGCTTATTGCAGACGCTGTCTCGCGTGGGGCGCGTGAGTGGTAATTGCGGGGCACGGGGCGCTCCGCGGGCTTCCGCCGCAACTTTCCCGAGCGTCGCCACGCTGGAGTCAAGGACAGCAGGGAGAAGCTCAGCGTGCAGCCTGGACGCCGCAGCGAACCCGCCCGGCTCCTTCCCGGTGACCCCCGCGGGGTGGACTCCGGGATTTCAAAATTATAATTTCTGTGTTTTTATTAATAAGCAATTAAATTGGACTTTAATTGAAAATAATTATTTTCAAATTATGTTAACACCTGCGGAAGCTCTCGCTGTGTGATCCTGCAATATTGGTGGCTCTTTTGGAGACTTAGGACCACCACTATTTTCGGGACCGAGTCTCGGATCCTCCTCCCCGACCCGGTGCCGCCCTCTTCGCCGCGGGTTGCCGTGAAAATCCGGAAAGGGAGATTTGGAGAACGAATGCTCCTGGTGGCTCCTTCTGTTGGGCTGGGAATGTTCCTCCGCCCGGTCAGGAAACGTTGTCAGGACGAGAAGAGGCTTTAAGCGACTCTGAGTCTCGGTCCTTCTCTGGGTGTCTAGCAAACTACACAAACTAGTGTCTCCGCGCCACACCTCCGGCTCGGACCTGCGGGAGTGCGCCAGCTCCCGACTGAGCATGCTCCGGGCAGTGCCCGCCGCACGCGGCCGCCACGGGCGCCCAAGGTTGATGTGGCTGCGCTGGGTAGTGGCACCCACGAAGCCCGGGACGGGAGGGGGTGCCGAGGGCGTACCCTGCACCCCGCACGGACGGGTCACCCATTCTGAGGGTCAGAGGGGCGGGTGGCTGCGTGGGACCTGGCTTCCAAGTGAATCAATACCTGGTCTTTCGCTAAAAGGTGACTGTTAGAAATCATCTTTTAACGTTAGTTTTGTAGCATCACATTTTAACACGTAGAACTTTTCGGTTTGTTTTTCCTTTTAAGAAACCTAATGTTTCTTTTCAAATTAGTCAATAAGAATTCTTTACAGTGGCCTAAACGTAACTGTGTCCCAACTCTCAAATAATTCTGTAGTGTTACATTCTTTTTTCTTCTCAAGTACTTCCGTATTCACTGTTTCCTTTCCTTCTTGTTCCTCTTTAATCTCAAAAACCTACAGAATGTCCTCATATCGTCGAAATATTTGTGGTAAGTGTGGGGAAACTTTTAATACTCGTTTGTGAAAGAAAATACTGAAGTGGAGAAAGGTTACATGGAAAACATTTTATGGTTTTGAATTAGTAAACTCACAATGGAGATGAATAGAAATAGATGAGATAGAGATAGAGAGATAGAAGAATAGAAATAGATGAGACAGAGACAGAGACAAGAGACACTGTGCCAGGAGGATAATAGAGTTTAGTTGTGTTCTTGTGTGAGAGAAGGAAGACCAGGGGATTTGGTGTGACCTGTATCAGGAAGCCAGTCAGGAGTCCCGATTGGCAATATCAGGAAAGCCTCGAGAAAAATAAAAAAGAGACAAGTATCATTTTCTAACAATGGCTGGGAAGTCAGTGTCTCTGGATCTGATCTCTGTTCCCCAAAACAGCCACTGTTTATTAGCTGTATACAGTGAATAGCTGGGGCCAGTAAAGGAACTCAGTTCATCCAAATACTCGCACTCCAAAAGGCGTAGAGAATTTTGTTTAGAAGTATTTTGACCTGAGTATAATCCTGAGGTGATTTAAGAAGGCATAGATGATCTTATGCTTGGGAGAGTCAATGGGATGCGTGGCACCAATAATCCTAATCCTCCCGCTTACCTCATAGGGAAATATGTAATATTAGCCACTGTGAATTTATGATCCCCAGCAATAGTGGGGAATATCTTGCATTCCAGTTTTAGTGATTCAGTTTCACTGTGACTGGAAACATGATGTCTTGTGGAAGCTCACTTTTGAAAGAATAGATTTATGCCTTGAAAAAACATATTTATGCCTCAAATCCTAACTTGTGCTAGGGTCACCCACATTCACCTCCTTATCTTTAAGACTCCATTCTTGCTGGTAGCCCTGGAACACTGCTCCTGAATTTGTCCAGGTTCCCATGGACATCCACACTACACATAGCTTGGAAAAAGGTGACCAAGATGTCTCTTCAACAGCCTATACTGCAGCTGCTCTCCCAATCTGGAGCCTTCTTCTCCCCATAAGAGGTTTTATGTGACCTTTTCTTGGTTCTTTGACCTCTCTGTTTCTTCTAATCCTCCTTCTCCAGGATCGCTTCCTTTACACCAAACCACTGTAGCCATTCTTGGGCCTCTGCCCTTATTCCCTGTGGCTGCTAGCATGGTTATTGGTATGTCCGTCTACTCAGCCACTTGCATCTGGCTGTTTCAGTCATCCACCTGTCTTCCCTCTCATCGGGCTGACCTTTGCTGCAGTCTTCAATCCCCACCATCCTCCCTCCAAACATAGAGCAGTAACCTCCTAAGTGGGTCCTGTCTCTCTGTCTCCTCATGCTTCCCATGTCCTCAGACTTTTCCTATAAAGCAAATTATATTATGATATGTCTTCTAAAAATTTATGAGTGAATTTGCAGTGTCTTTAGTATAAAGCCCAAGTTTTAAACATGAACTGGTGCCTATTGCCCTTCCGGGTCAATCCAACAGGTGTCCTAAATCCCAGCCAATCCAAATTACCTGTAGTGCCAGTCCACACCTCATGTGTATGGTAGTTTGTCTCTCTTTCCTTCTTGGTCGCCTGACAGATATTACACCTTTAAGATCGTGCTCAGACTGTGTGTCCATCGGCTTTCCTGAGTGACTTGAGTTCCTCCTGAATGCTGTACCATGTCCTTTGTCTTCATTTGGACACCTGATTTTATGTTCCTTCATCTCCTCCTCCACACTTGAGGCAACTTGGTAATAAGGGTTATGTCTCAGCCCTCTCTGTATCTTTGTTCTAAGTATCAGCAAAATTTTATAGAATGATGAACATACACTGTATACTATTTAAAGTTTATTAATTTTTAAATCTATTCTTTAGGACTAAGAGCTATAAATGTGTTGAAAAGACAAGATAGGACAAAGCCACATCAGATGCAACCAGATTGCATCAGATGCAATCCTTGGTAAACTCCTTTGAATAATATAGGTAAGATCTCAGGTTTGACTTCCTTAAAACCAATGAATATTTTCACCTTAAGAATTCAGGAAGTGATTTGTGGGCCAGTCTCATACACCTGTTTTACCGGCCTGTCACTGCATGGTACTCAACATTATACTACTAATTAATTAATACATTCCATTGTTCTCTGTCATTGTGGTTCCTTTTGTAGTGTAGCTATAATCTTCTAATTATGTGATGACTCCTTAGGATAGATTTTCTTTTCTCTGCTGAATGGATATCACCCCAGAAGGACAGATAAACCAATTAGGAGTTACTGTAATTTTTACAGTTCTCACAGCTCTTATTGTCAGCTAACACCTAGAAATAACTGTGGATGGAGGACCACCTGCTTCAGAATCACCTGGGGAATGATGAACTCACTCCAGAACTCCTGGATGGAATGGTCTAGGAGGTGATGACTTTAACAATTCCTCCAGGTGACTCTGCACACAACTGTTAAGAGACAGTTCCAAGTCATGATGATAAAAAGAAAAATGACAATTATTGGTACAAAACTTCCAGGAATCCCTATCTTAGCTTCCTTTGATAGATATGTACATAGAGGAGGAGTATCAGTCTGTAAAAGTATTAGCCATATTTGTATTTGTTAAATAGCCTCAGCTTATATTAGAGGCCAGAGGTTGTAGAATCCTAATGAAATAACCACTTATTTTTGCACATATTGACCAATGCAGGGAATTTATTCAGTAACCAGTGGAAACCCAGTGTTGCTTCTCCAGCACATTTTCCCTAGATTCTGGCTCTTTCAGCAGACAATAAGTAGACAACGGATGTTTTGACCTTGTGCCTGCCTAGAAAGGGCAGTAAGAGGATACAGTCCATATTAGGCTTAAAGGAAGACAATACTTCTCTCTATGGTCTTGTGACCTGTTGGCTGGGGAAAGCAAAACCCCTTGAAAAGGCTGCATCAGTGTTAGGAAACTGTTCCTTCCTCCTCACAGGTTTTGGCTGTGCGTTGAGGTTGAAACTTTGGAGGTATGCATGCATATGTGTGGTCTAACAAGTTCTCCCTCTGGAAAAATCAAGGAATTTAATGGCTTGCAGAGGGAGCAGAAGATCCAGGTCAACAGCTTACAACCTTCCTGACTTCCTTTGTTGGGAGCCGCAGCCCCGAGCCCGGTCGCCTCACTTGGCGGACGTGAGGCCTGTAGTAAAGAGTGAGGCCTGAGGTAGATTACCCCTCCCATCGAATATGTTAGTTTCCTGCTTACCGCGTAAACAACCCGCTCAACAATATAGTCTGC